CTCACAATGCTGTGTAAACTCACAGTTCTGTGTTCACCCACAGTGCTGTGTTCACCCACAGTGCTGTGTTAACTCACATTGCTGTGTTAACTCACATTGCTTTAACTGCTAGTAATAAAACCACTATTATTTTGCAAAAGTTTACTGATTCACTGAACAGTATTGCCTTTTTTATTCAAATTTTAGTATTTTAGCTAACTTCTATTATATATCAGAGGTTTCAAGGTCTGTGAATACAGGCCCTTGATCTAGGTAATAAAATACAATACACCTACTATGTGTACCTGACCTACATATTATATAATGATGGCTTACCTTTTAAGATAAAGCCTGCTTTTGAAAATTTCTGTAATGTGTTTCTTTTTTTTTCATCCCAGGCTATATCCATTTGATATGAGTAATAAGTCTTGAGGCTTTAACGTGCATGCTTACTTAGCTATCAAGATTGTCGTCAATTTCTGATCCCTTGCTGATAGAAGTTAATGATAATTTACAATGTTAAACCAGAGTGAATACTTGAGATAGATGAAGTCAGGTTACAGATGTGACTGTTACTATACATCACGCAGTGGGCAGGGTGAACACGTATATTTCAAGTCAAATGATTACTTGTTTCTGGGAATGTAATTGCATGGTTGTGAGAATTATAATGACAAAATAATTATATATGGGAAAATTGAAAACCCACTTCTATTTCTGTATTACTTTATCACTGAAGGTTAATTGTCTTCATGCTTGTTTCTACGGTAACTATTGTTCTGTAACTTCCTGTTAGTGATGTGCTCTAGTCCACCAGCTTGATGGAAATTTAGAAATCTGACGATGAATGTTATAGTTATTTGTATAAAGTTGTCAGTAAAAAGAAAGTATTGTTGTGACCTCCAGCCTATCTCATTTTTATTGCGTATATATCACGGTAAAAGCCCGGGGGGAAATCTTGGCAGGTTGTGACTTTTAGCTATACATTCTTACAAATGTATAAGTAGCATAAATTTTCCTGTTCTTTATATTAAATTGTTTAAGTTACATGTAAATCAAACTCTTACACAAAATGGTTGCCACACTCTGCAGTCTAGGTAACCATGCTTATGCGCTAACAAACACTGTTGTGGTCATGTACATGTGTGTTTAAGAAGTTGTGCAGAAATATCACAAATTATGAACCTGCATTGTGGCTAGTGTTCAATCACTTTAACCTTTTTACCACCAGACTTTCTCGTCCAATTTTTTCTGCACTTTTGTTTTTATATTCTTAAAAATTTCTGGTAATGTACCCTAATTTTGAAGCCAGCAGACAAAATTTGAATCAATTTTCAGTTTTTACTCAAAAAATTTGTCCATTTTTGTCCCAATCTTCTGAAAGAAAGTGCAGACTATAAATGAAACTATTTTGTGGTTAGCACTTACATTATCTCTGCATATTTATGCATGTGTCGTATACTAAAATACTATGGACCAATAATATTATGCCATGCACTAGCCAATTGTTTGTTTCTCATTTTTTTTTTTTTTTTTTTTTTTCGAAACTTTGTTTTGTTAGGTGATCAACATCTCCAACCTTGTGTGTAAATAAATGACATAGATTTTATGTAACATAATATTAAGAACTTGTTATAGATTGACATTTCAAGAATATACTTTGTAGAATGCACCAGTTACAGCAATTTTCATTCACCTATTTTGACAGCCTGACAAATGAACAATACTAACAATTTAGCAAGGCAATGATCCATGCTCTAGAAAAAATTGCATAGTCTAATGACAAGAAAAATGTATATACATGTAGTAAACATAACCAATATGGTGTTATTATTCAGACACACTATTTGAAATTGAGTTACTAAACTTAGGAATCAACCATTGCGTCTCCAGTGCTTGTGGTGCATCTATACTGCATATTTTCCCAAAGGTTAGACACAATGTTTCAGTACACCAATGACTCACTGGGATGTTAATGTACATTAAAACTACTTTACAATCAAAATTGTAAATTTTAATTTTCTGTCACCACACTTAAAAAAAAAAACTGTTATATCTGCTAAACACTGAGTCAAAAATATCACTGTCAAACACAGATGAAGAAAAAATGATAGCCATAATGAAGAATAATGAAAATAAAACAATATGAATGTTTTAAAGATATTATTATAATTACTATTGTTATTATTAGTCCCTGTTCGGAGGAAGTCCGAAAACGGGAACTTATAATTCTGTCTCCGTCTGTGCGTCAGTGTGTTCGTGCGTCTGTCCGAAGACATATCTCAGAATCCCTTGGACCGATTCTGTTCATTCTTCGCATGTGCCTAGTACTTTATGTGGGACATATGCACATGCAGTGGTTTAGCGATTTGATTCGAAATGGCCGACTGGCAGCCATCTTGTTTTTTGAAAATGTTGTATTTTGGACATGCTTTGTCAGTTTTCATTCAAATTTAGTACATAGATCATACATATTAGGCTACATGTCCTCGACTGTCCGAGAGTTTCTGAGTCTGTCCATTCGTTCGTGTGTTCGTCCGTCCGTGCGTCAGTCTGTCCAGAGTCATATTTCAGAATCCTGTGGACCGATTCCATTCATTCTCTGCATGTACCTAGTACCTTATGTAGGACATATGCACATGCAGTGGTTTAGCAATTGGGTCAAAGATGATCGACTGGCAGGCATCTTGTTTGTTTGTTTTTTTATGCGGTATCTTGGACGTGCTCTGTCAGTTTTCATTCAAATTTGGCACATACATGTACTTTATACATGTTAGGATGCATGTCCATGACAATTTGCTTCAAAATCTGGTCAAGGATGGCCGATTGACAGCCATCTGACTTTTTGGCCTTACTACTATATTTCTACAATTTATGTACCATTTTCATTCGTATTTGGCACATACAACATACACATCAGTGTGTTTTATAATCAAATCAAAGATGGCCGAATAACGGCTGTTTTTATTTTGACCATATTACTACTACATGCAACACGTGTTTTGATGTAAATAAACAATCTGTTGTATACGCCACTTGGAACTCAAGTTTCAAGGACAAGCTTGTGACAATCCTCCGCTTTAATATGACGAGCACAAAGAGAACTTTCAAAAATTTAACGGGGACTGTGTCATTTTCAATGACTTGTTATCTTTTATTTCGAAAATATGAATTCTGTTAAAATATAAAGTTACCATGCACATAAACGCAGGTTTCAATGTCATATAGCATCCAGGGTGGAATAACTTTTGTAATTTCTGTTCAACCAGAGCAACATGTGATATTGTACATATGTATCTTATCTTATTACACATTTGTTTGATATCAGGACGAAGAAACTGGTGTTACAGCATCATCAGGGATAGATGGACCACCCACCTACGGCACACCTCCCCCTTTATACCAGGAAGAAAATGCACCTCCGACCTATGAAGAAGCCAGCAGAGGTAAAAACCATGTATTGGAAAATCCATTTTATTGCAAAATGTACTAATTTTGCCTATAAACAGTGATCTGCATCATTGACTATATTGGTTACTTTTAGGTTTTTAAAAATTCTCAAATGTATGAATAAAACTAAAAACTGC